AACTGGTAAACCTAGGGAGAGATACAGGTGTTCACCACCTTATTCTTGCTATTTTGCTGAAGGTTAGAATGATTTTTTAAAAATTTTAAATGGGAGGACATTTTCTTGACTTTGAGACTGTCATAAGTCTGAGCAGAAAACATACAGCACATTCTATTTTAGTCTCTTCAATCATGGGAAATGCTTCTGAGGTTGACAGAAAACAGAACTCTAAGGGACTTTAATTTATACTTGCAGACTTACTTCAGATGCCAAAAACACAAGAGGTTACAGAGTGGTACTCAGACTTTTTAATGATGTTCATATTTAAATTTTCCAGAGGGTTGTTACGCATTTTTAAATTAAGCTTACAGTTTGTGATTCATTTATTCTATCAACTGACTTACCACATAGCTGCCAAATTAAGCTAGAAAGAAACCTACCGATATGAATTTGTGGGCCTACAAACCGTTATCACAGGAAGCCAACAGAAAAGCTTAACAAAATTGGAAGATATATATTTCTTTTTTCAGATAAAGGTTGATGAATTCCAAGAGTAGGGTCCACCTTAAGTAGAGAGACCTAATGCTCTGGTTTATTCCTGTTGTCCCTGGTCTTTTCTTATTTAGCACCTGTCCCAGGCAAAAGTGCCTCAGACAACAATGTCCCAGTTTAGATGTTGCATTATGTGGCATTACAGCATCTTTAACAATTTTTCTTAAATGATGGTGTTCTAAGAGTTGGTTTGGGGGGAAAATCAGCTAACATGAAGTGCGTAACGTTTTTGTTAGACAATTTACCCTACATTATAGTAATAAATTAATTACTAAAATGGAACAAAATACATTGAGATAAGTGTTCTTACATTTTCAGAAAGAAAGGAGAAACCAAAGTTGTTTTTCTACTGTGCATATAAAATATTGCACATTTGTAAGACCTCAGTAGTTAAGAGTCAAAAGGCCCACTGGAATCCCAACTCTGTCACTTGAGAGAATATAACGTTGACTAAGTTACTGGATCTGTCTTAACCATAGCTTTCTCATTTGTAAAATGGAAGAGATCAGAATACTGGTCAGTCTCTCTCTAAACACTGAATGATTCTATGGCTCTGGCCCCCAAAATAATTTTTTAAAATTTTATCAGTTGCCTTAGATTTTTTTTACAACTAGAAAATGTAACTTACCATCTTCTCTCACCAAACTCCTATTTCTGTTCTGACCTCTCTTCTGTTCAGAGGCTGGGTCAATCTCCCATTCGCCCAAGATGGTGTTTAGCCCCCTCTCACAACTAATCCCAGCTTAGTTAGCTGCCAAATCCCAGATTCCACTTCCTCAGTATCTCCCACTCTCAGCTCTTTTGTCCCACCACTGTAATTCAGGTCTTCATCAACACCTGCCTTATTCTATCATATCATACTACCCTACCCAATAGCATGTAATAAATAGCTCCATACTACCGAAAAGATCTATGCCAGAAGTCCCCAACTTAATATTCAAGAACCTCTGCGTCTGCCCCTGCTCTTCCGTGCCAATCCAACCAAACCACCCACTGCTATTTCAAAACTCCCTGTACTTCCTGGATTTTGTGCCATTAGTTCTGTTGTTTTTACACTGCCCTTTTCTCTGCCTTTCAAAATTGACTTCATACTTTAAAGTTCAGTTCTAGAGGTGCCTGGGTGGCTCAGTCGGTTAAGCATCTGCCTTCGGCTCAGGTCATGATCCCGGGGTCCTGGGATAGAGCCCCGCATCAGGCTCCCTGCTCAGTGGGGACCCTGCTTCTCCCTCTCCCTCTGTGCCCCCTAATGCTTGTGCGCTATCTCAAATAAATAAATATTTAAAAAAATAATAATAAAGTTCAGTTCCAATGGTGACCACCCCCATCCAGACATTACAGTTGCCTCTTTTGAATGCCCATGATACTGACATAAAGTGACAATTTTAATGGCCAACAGTGAATTAAGAAATATAGTTTACCCCAGGTAGTAAACTAAATTTCTCTTGTGCCGATTTTGTTTAACTGCCACCGGCTACCTGGCACACTGTCTTGAAGATTTGCCACTGGGGCTCCTGGGTGGCTGAGTTGGTCAAGCATCTGCCTTTGGCTCAGGTCATGATCTCAGGATCCTGGGATCGAGTCCCGCATCAGGCTCCCTGCTCAGCGGGGAGTCTGCTTCTCCCTCTTCTCCTCCCTCTGCTTCATGCCCACTCGTGCTCTCTCTCACTTACTTTCTCTCTCTCAAATAAATAAAATCTTAAAAAAAAAAATTTGCCACTTAGCAGAGGGAAAGGAGAATGGCAACACAACACTGACATTCAGAAACTAGAGGGTTCAAACTAGGGGCCCACACAATAGGATTTGGACTTCCATGGTATTAAAGATGTAAAAATTAATTTAACATTTAAATATTTAACATTAAAAGTTCATACGTTTGGTTATCTTCGGGGAATATGAAGATCTAGAATGACAGTTCTCAACTGGGGGTGATTTTGCCCCCCAGAAAACATTTAGCAATATCTAAAGACATTTCTGAATGTCACGAATGGGCGGGGAGTGCTACAAGCAGATGCTGCTGACCATCCCACAAGGCACAGGGCAGACCTCACAATAATAAATTCTCTGGTCCAAAACGTCAACAGAGCCCAGGTTAAGAAACTCTGATCTAGCAGTATCGAAAGTACCTGTGGGTTCTGCCTCCTCAAAGATATTTTCAAATTTTTCAAGATGAAGAACCATGCCTCTAGTAAGAGACAATACAATATGATCCAAAGCCTGACAGCTTCTCCCATACCAGTGATGTGGCTTCCTGAAAGTTACTTAACCTCTTTGTGCCTCAAAGTCATCATGTGTAAAACAGGAATAATAGTACCTACCTCACACAGTGATCCAGGGATCGGATGAGTCCATGCAAGTCTTCAGAAGAATGCGCCAGGCAGACAGTAAGCATTCAGTACATTTAGCTACTTCTGCTCTTCCCCTCCCAAGTGCCTAGCCTTGCATTTGGAACATAGAAGATGCTCAAGAAATATTTGCTAAAGGAATACAGAATAATGCCTTGATTTCCTGGGGAAAGCATAAATGCTTCAAGACATACACACTCTCCTTATTTGGAAAAAAGGAAGCAGAGAGCTAGAGACGGAGTAGAAGGAAAGCATTTGCCCACCTAATCACACCTCTCCCTCTTTGGAACCTTTTAACCTTTAGGCAACACTACCCTCTCGCAGTCTTGAGGTGCTGCCTTGTAACCTCCTAGTAATTGTTCTTCCTTTTTATGCCTGATGACCCACTGTAGGGCCATCCTCAAATATGGAATGACATGGTAACTTAACCTCTACACCGTCTACCTTGTGTTAGTTATTTATGGACATATGACAGTCTTCCTACTAGATTGTACATGCTCTCTGTGGCCAGAGATGATGACATTTAACTCCTTTTTATACAACCCAAGGGGGCTCACACACCTTAGGAACTGACTGGCCCAAACCTCTCGTTTTATAGATTACACACAAAGCAGCTAAGTGATTTGCCAAAAGTCAAGGTCATATTGTAAGTGGCAGGGCTGGGATTCAAACTCTGATACATAACCCATATAGAGACTCTTAAGTTCTCTCCAACTATAATAGATAATGAAAATTATACCTGCGGTAGAGACAATTTTTAATTAAGCCCCAGAAAACCTCCATAAAAATTATACTGATATAGTTACCTGACAAAACAAAAATGGGAGGAGAAACAGACTCCAAGCTCCTTTCTGCTACTGAAAATTCAACCTGTTTTCTTTAATGGTCTCATATCTTAACAATTTTTTTTAAACTTCTGACAACAAAACTTATTAAATGTCCAAAGAACAGTTGTTTAATCAGTGATGTCAGGCTTAATTTCCTTGAACCAGTCCCTCGGTAAGCCAATGATGTCCACCCTTCACCCACTGAAAAGATTTTTAACTATCACCTTAACAGATTAATATCTATAAAACTCAAAAGACCAGCAATTTGGGATGATTTTATATGGTGAAAAATATTCATATGATTTGAACTGAGTGTTATTAACCTCACCATAAACCTAAAACTTACAATCAAGGACAAACTACATTAAGACCTGAAATAGGAGAGATTTTATTTTATCCTGTCCAAGTGAAAAAGAAAGCAGCTCACTGATAAGGTTCATCTAGAAGTTTCTCTGAGTCTCTCGATATGATTCAAAAGAAAACAACCAATAAAGAAAAGACCGTAAGAAAATGAATTTGAAAAAGAGTTAAATACGGTGCCACACTCTAATGCTCTAAGCAATTACAGCTCACTAAAGCTAAACGTTTCCATAAAGGCAACGTTTAAAAACCAAAAAACTCCCTTTGTGGTGATGATTTAAGTTACCAGTGCAAAAACATTCAGGCCCAGTAGAAACGATAACCACTTATTGGGAACAGATTTTTTAATTATTTTACCAGTTGATAAAAAAGAGCACACACCGAACATAGACACAAATGTAGTTTCAAAAGAAAACAAAACGCAGTTTATGCTCAGTAAAGTTCAAGGGCAAAACCGTTCCCAGTGCAACAGAATCTGCCTGACTACAATGTGCTGGGGAGGGAAAATGCGAACATAGTATCTTCTTATAAAGGCAACAATTTGAGTTACAAAGTAATAACGGGGAAGCCAAAACAGTTTGACAGCCCGCCATAAGGGCCGCCTCAATCATGAGTCACACAATGCCTGCAACCATTTACAATAGTAATTAATGCACAAGTCCCCTAATTAAATTCTAAAAGGGTGAGAATGCTTTAACTAAGTTTACAAGAATTGCTTTTCGCTCTTTTTTCTTCCCCCAAAGAAAAGAACACACGCGTAATTACGCATCTCCCCGCAATCCCTCCATCCAATATTCCCTCCGGCCTCTTCTCCCGAATGTCTATTCCCTGCGAGCGAAAAGAAAATGACACGGGGGAACTTCTAAACCCAGAAAGGGCGAACCAGAGTGGAAATACACGATTAAGGGGGCGACAGACGGAAGCTCGCCCATCTTACCTGCTAAGATTCCTTTCTACGTCTTTGGTAGCTTTAGCTTCCAATTCTCTGCAAGAGAAAAGAAAGAGAGAGAGGGAAAGATGCGCATGAAAACGGAGCTGCTGCGGCAGAGGCTCGCGCCGAGGCGGATGGGGGGGAGGGGAGCCCGGGGGTGCTCACAAAGCTGCGGGGCTGCAGCCCGGACTGCGGGCAGGCGGCGCGGGCGAGCCGCAGCCCCCGGCCCGGCCCCAGCGGCGCAGCGCGGCCCCTCCGGGCCTCCCGCCCGGCCTCAGCGGCGCCCCCGCACCCCCCGCCGGGGCCCGAGGTCTCGGGGACGCCCGCCGCCGCCGCCGCCGCCGCCCGCGGTCGCGGGGCCCTGCGGCAGCGCCCCAGGCTCCTCCCGCCCGGATGGAGGCCCCCGCCCCACTCACCTCATGTGTGTAAAGTGCACGAGCAAGTGGGGCGCGGCGAGTGAGGCTCGCGAGCCTCAAACCCTCCGCAGCGCCGCGGGGAGAGGCCCGAGCCGCTGCACCAGCGCCATTTTCTACACCGACCCGCTGCCGCCGCCGCCGCCGCCACCGCCGCCGCCGCAGGCCCCAGACCGGAAGTGAATGCCCTGTTCGGCAACCCCTTCCGGGGGCGCCGCGGCCACCGGCCTCAAGATGGAGGCCGTAGCAACTAACCCAGCAGCCGGGGCAGGCCCTTGGCAACCGCCCGGGTGCGGCTCGCGGCTAGCGGCCAGACCTCCCTGAGCGGGGTGGGTCACCGCCTCCGAGGCGCCCCGCACAGCGGCTGGGGGGCCCGCCGAGCCCGGGCCCAGCCTCAGCCTCTGTCGCCTCGTCCGGCTGCGATCCGACTGGAGTCCCGCCCCTCCTCCTCCTCCTTCTTTGCTGCGACACAAGTTTCCTTCCCTGCCGCCCGGCCCCTCCCCCACCGAAACACACCAAAAAAAAAAAAAGCTAAACCGCAAATTCTACCCCTGCCGCAGCAAGATGAGCTCGCGCGGCTTTTGAAATCCGCCACTTGTAATTATTTTTGACCTTGGGCCAGTTATTTAACCTCTCTGCTCCTCTGCTTCCTCCTCAGGTAAAGAATGCATACCTGAGGCGGACTATGAGGCTTAAAAGCGATTTTTATCCACCGAATTTTGCAGACTGTTTGACTCAGCAATTCCATTGGCACGAATTTCTGTTCCGAAAACAATCCTGGATATCTACAAATATTTCACCGTCAACATGTTAAGTCACGGCAATGATGATGGTGAAAAATTGTTAACGGCCAAAATGTCCAACACTGAGGTGGCTTTAAAAACAACTACTGGCGTGCGTTACGGTACTGCAAAAATGATGGGAAGAGTAACGGCGTGGGGGAAAGTGGTTACAATAAAGTGAAAAAGCGGGTTCCAAACTCGCTCCCACGGTAGGAAACGTAGATGCAATACGATATATATGTGTAGTAAAGTAAAAATATCTACCTAAGTGTCCATGGGAGATTAATACGTACCTACAAGCAGATACAGCAATGTACTTACATGTAGATACAATAAGATACATGTGTTCCTGTGTCTATGTGGATCTTCTTTCCGTCCTCTCAAAACGCCTTTTTTTTTTTTTCTAATCAAAAGATGATCCCTCCTTTCTGTGCTTAAAATCCATTCCTTCTCGGAAATCTCACTCGAAGGATCATCCCATTTTCCTCTTTCTAAACTAGGTCTTTCCACTGGCTTTTTAAAAACATGCCCAAATTTCTCCCATTAAAAAAACAAAACCTCCTTTCACTGCCCCGTTTTTATCCTCTCTGAGGGAGATGTGTAATAAATAAGTTAATGAATAAATGAATGATTGCACAGAAAGTCCTAAAGCATATGCACCAAAATGTTCAGGGATGGTATTATGAAGATTTTAATTTTTTTAATGTATCTGGCTTTTTTGTTTTGTTTCATTTTTATACAATGAGCATGTTAAAACACACACACAATTAAGAAAACCAAGTTTATAGGGGCGCCTGGTTGGTTCAGTTGGTGGAGAATGTGACTCTTGATCTTGGGGTTGTAACTTTGAACCCCACATTGGGTGTAAAGATTACTTAAAAAATAAAATTTGTTTTTTTAAGAGAGAGGGCCAGAGCGGGGAGGGAGGGACAGAGGGAGAGAGAAAATCTTAGGCAGGGTCCAAGCCCAGCACTGAGCCCAAGGCAGGGCTTGATCTCAGGATCCTGAGATCGTGACCTGAGCGGAAATCTAGAATCCAACACTTAACCCACTGAACCACCCAGGCGCCCCAAAAATAAAATCTTAAAAAGAAAAAAAAAATCAGGTGGGGCGCCTGATTTTTCTTTTATGGTTCTTTCTACTTAAAATGTTAAAAATTATATTACATCACTTCCTTAGGAGTTAAAAAATATGAACATGTATGTGTAGCACAGTATGCTTTCATACCAGGTTTATGAATAATTTTCCATGACAGCGTAACACAATGAAAACTATCAACATTTACAGAGCTGTTAAGATTAGCTGATTTTTTTTTTTTAAATTAGACTTCCTTAGGCTTGAATAACCCACTGGTTGTCAATTGGGACATTTAGCAATGTCTGGTTTTGGGTTGTCACAACTGGAAGCTACTAGTATCTACTGGGTAGAGGGCAGGGGTTCTGCTAAACATCCTACAATGCAAAGGACAGCCCCACAACACAAGAGTATCTGAACCAAAATGCCATTAGCACCTAAGATTGAGAAACCCTAGAGCTAATTCCCAGCCCCAGGGAAGCTGAGAAAGTAGCATTTCTTGAAGATCTTTCCAGAGTGATTTGACATGACCCTTCCAGGGCTGCATTATGAAGTCATGCTAATCACTTTTTTTTTTTTAAGATTTTAATTTATTTGATAAGAGACACAGCGAGAGAGGGAACACAAGCAGGCGGAGTGGAAGAGGGAGAAGCAGGCTTCCCGCTGAGCAGGGAGCCTGATGCGGGGCTCGATCCCAGGAAGCTGGGATCATGACCTGAGCCGAAGGCAGACACTTAACGGCTGAGCCACCCAGGCGCCCCTGCTAATCACTTTTTAATGAGCTCTTATGCATAGAGGTAGATCAAAGAAGAATGACCTTGTAAGACCAGCAGGGATTCCTTATCAGTAAACTTCTAAGGAATGTTGTCTTCTTATTATCATTTCTCATTACTAAATAAGTAGTCTCTCTTTCTACTGAATATTTCGCATTATCGTACATATTCTAGTAACTTCCACTTTAAAAAAAATACTTAACACAATGAGCACTGAATAACGTATAGAATTGTTGAATCATTACATTGTACACCTGAAACTAATATAACACTGTATATTAACTGTACTGGAATTAAAATTTAAAAAGAAAACATACAAAACAGGGTAAAGGGATGGGTGAAATAGGTGAAGGGGATTAAGAGTATGCATATCATGGGGCGCCTGGGTGGCTCAGTTGTTCGGCTCAGGTCATGATCCCAGGGTCCTGGGATCGAGCCCCGCATTGGGCTCCCTGCTCCACAGGAGGCCTGCTTCTCCCTCTCCCACTCCCCCTGCTTGTGTTCCCTCTCTCGCTGTGTCTCTCTCTGTCAAATAAACAAATAAAGTCTTAAATAAAAAAAGAGTACACGTATCGTATCACGATGAGCCCTGAGTAAAGTACAGAATTGTTGAATCATTATATTATACACCTGATACTAATATAGCACTGTATGTTCATTGTACTTTATTTTTAAAAAGATACGTGTTCAAATGATTTTCTAAAAATGCTCCTTGCTCCTCACATGGAGAAATGGGTTATTTCTTTGAATGGATTTGCTGACCATTCTGGAATTCATGTACACAATTGTTTTAAAACAATAAAGACGGTAGAGTAAAATAAATAAATGAAAACAACAACAACAACAAATTCAGTTGATGCCTCCTCACTCCTCCACAGCTCCGTTTTCCTGCTCTCCTCAGCAAAGCTTCTTGGAAAAGTATTCTACACCAGCTACTTCCAGGTGCTCACCTCCTGTCCCAAGCCATTTTCACCTGACATTGCTATTCCTCCCCCCAGGTTGCTCTTATCAATGTCACAAATGACCTTGAATCTGTCAAACTCAATGGCAATATTTCTCGCCTGGTCTTAGTTCTTAGCTGTATTTCCACAACCAGCCACTCCTACCTTCTTTTGAGAGTCTCATCTCTTGGCTCTCTTGGCAGCACATTCTCCCCGAATTTCTTTTTACCTCTCTATCCATTCCTTCTTTTTTCATATCCTTTGCCCGCATTTCCTGATTAATACCAAAGAAATGTCGGGACCCCCAAGGCTTTGTTCCAGACTTTTCACCCTCTCTCTCCACTTTCTCCTTGGGATGGGTGATCTCATACATTCTCTTGTGTCTAAACACTTGTTTAAATGCGGATGATTTTCAAATTCCTAGCATTAGCCCATATCTCACGTGTATACCCCAGAATGCCAAAACAACAGATCACCCATGCAACGAATATTTATTGAGCACCCACTGTATGCTAGCTACTGTGTTAGGGCCTGGTTCTCTGCCATATGTGAGGGACTACTTTGGTGGAGTAAGTCTAACGGGGCAGAGAGATTTTTTTTTTAAAGCAAACTATGAAGTGTATAATTACAAACGATGACAAGTGCACAGAAGGAATGTTGTTCTAAGCAAGTGTAAAACAAAGGAGCATAACATAGAGTATGTGGTCAAAGAAGGTTTCTTTGAAAATGTCAAGCTTCACCTGAGACCAGAAGGGTGAGGGGCAGCCAACCAGGACCCAGGGAACAGGAGAGGAAAGTTCTCAGGCTGGAAATTTACATTTGGGCGTCCTCCTTGTGGATGAAAACAGGCTTTGCATTGTATTTGGCTTTAAATCCACTGGAGCCACCATTTTTATTTTACTCGCATAATCAGTTCGGAACAAAACCAGAAACAAGGTCTTGTATATAGAGTAATGGGTTTCATTACCACTGCTCATTGAAGTAAGCAAATGCCATTTCCTACGACAAGCATATTCCCTAGATTCAACGAATATTAGAATATTTTGCATGGCTCATTGTTGAAGTTTACAGTTTGAGAATTTGGATATAACATGAAATGCCTTTCCAACGATAACTTTTTTAAATAAAATAAATTTTATTTTATTATGTTATGTTAATCGCCATACATTACATTAGTTTTTGATGTGGTGTTCCATGATTCATTGTTTGCATATAACACCCAGTGCTCCATTCAGTACGTGCCCTCTTTATTACCCATCACTGGGGGGCGCCTGGGTGGCTCAGTCGTTAAGCATCTGCCTTCGGCTCAGGTCATGATCCTGGGGTCCTGGGATCGAGCCCCGCATCGGGCTCCCTGCTCTGCGGGAAGCCTGCTTCTCCCTCTCCCACTCCCCCTGCTTGTGTTCCCTCTCTCGCTGTGTCTCTCTCTGTCAAATAAATAAATAAAAATCTTTAAAATAAAACAAAAAATACCCATCACTGGGCTAACCCATCCTCCCTCCCCCCTCCCCTCTAGAACCCTCAGTTTGTTTCTCAGAGTCCATAGTCTCTCATGGTTCATCGCCCCCTCCGATTCCCC